TTGGTATTTCGTTCTGGTTTACGTACTCATTAACTTTTATAAAACAAAGAATAATACACTTAAAATATGCGATAACATAGTCAGTCGCAATACGAAACACACTCTTTCATATTTGACCTTAACGATGATTAAATTAACTGATATCCAATAGTTCTAGGGTACTAATGGCAAATATCATTGTTTTCAACGCATTTATCAGTAACAGTTTAAAAGTGAATGAGGCTTTAGAAAAATATCACTCGAGATAAAAAATGTCATACAATGGATTTCTAATGACTCTTTAATTAGAATTCTAAACGAATCAAACGATAAAATGTGTTTTGTAAATGGATCAAACATGCAGGCGAGACAAAATATCCCCGGCAGGCAAACTATAATGTATTTTTAAAGTATTATTCTCGTTTTATTTATAAATTTTGATCAATGATTTTTACTACAAACTGTTGTGTTTCATGATATTAAATACGAAGAAATATCATCAATACAACAAAAAATATTTGAAACAAATTTATTGCAAACTGGCATCTGTCATTGTCGTAATTTTCATTTAAATTACTTCAGAATAAGTTCACATCAACAACAATTTATCAAATGGGTGACATACTTGCAAAATGACAGACAAATTATTTAACGTTGTTTCGGACTGAACTCTATACATTACATAGTCTACTGTTACTAGAATTATTCTCAGTGTCTTACTTTCCAACAAGCAACATTTCCTTTTTATAAATACTTTAACAAATAATTTGGGTCTTTAAAATGACTTTAAACGTCTTTAGTGTTATTTAATGTTTTAAACGTTGAATACAAATTCATCACTTGTACAGAGAAGAGAATTAATAACATGGTGTTCATATTAAAACATTTGTTACGAAACTTACAGACTGTTGTCTTACCATCAATTCAGCCAGATGTTTAAGAAATATTTATATGCAAAAGTTCGCCTTTTGTTTTGTCCGCGACATGAGCTCAAAATTGATTTACAGCAATAAATATAATTATGTTAAATATAAATGAATATTATGAGAAAACTGTATCGTTGCAAGATAAGTTGTTCTTTATTTCATTGGAATTACATGCATACTAGTGCCGCTTTTCTGACATGGTAACATGTTCAGATACGGTCAAAAATAATATGGGTTTGTTAACGAAAAAAAACCACTTTATACATGTATATGTGCAAAAGAAATGAAATAACATATTTGAAGTTTCATTACCAAGTTTTATTTGATAATAAACTAATATTATAGTGGCTTCAAAATATAATTTTGTAACCTGTACATGCTGTTACTTATTCAATAATCTTATATTTAACACCGCACACACATTTTAAATTCTCATTTCCGCATAGTGCCACACGATTCAGTATAACGTTGATAATGTATCATAACAAAATATGTTGTACAAATCTGACGAAATATTTATGCTCAAAATGAATTAAAAAAGATATAATCAAAGGCTTATTAAGTTTTGCGTATATACAACATACATTGTTTTCTAGATTCAATAACGCAATGCATTACCGATACTTGTCAAAAATGATGATTGATCGGTTGAACGTAATTAATAGTTATATAGTTATAATTGATAACTGATCGATAGTTATCTATGCATGTTTTACATCTTGGTTGTATGTTGTTTTCCAATGTCACTTAAGTAACAATGCGTTTGCAATGATGAAAATTACAACTATAACAATATCAATTACTAAATTACGTATAGCCAATTACGTCTAGCCTGCTTCAAAGTGTTTTTATAATATAACTATAATAACAGATAGTTGTCGTTCATACTATGATATGCATGTCGTTCCAAATAACATATTAAAAAGATGCGATGCTGATTTTTTCTTTTGTATTTTTCTTGTTTGTTTGTTTGCTTGTTTTTGTTGTTTTTGTTATGAATTTATAAATCAAATATTGACAAGATACTATATCTTTCATTTCAGTTGTACCTTTTTTCAGTAATATAGTATTTTACTGACAAATTATCTTAAGCGAAATTATATGGTACGTAAGAATAAGGCACAAATTACACTTTGATTTGATCTCAATTAGTTATAAAGCAGTGATCATTCACATTCTCGTAACAAGTCTGAATTAAAATGAAAATCATCCGATCATCGATTCCGCTTTTAACCATTTAATCACCCACAGTATAATCATTTCAATTTTGACCTTGCACTTGATCAGAAACAGGAATCTTGTTTTTTGAGTAAGTTAATGAATGCTTTATGTTTTACTTTTAATATAAAATGTATTTGCAATAAAGTAAACAATGTCCTTCATAGACAAATCATGATGTCATAAAACGACAACACAATCGTCATAGTCTCATGATGAGCCCTAACTTTGCATAATTTTTTAAAAAAATATTTTTCCATGTTTACTTTGCACAGATTGTTTTACAGCGCACCAACACATCATGGGCCATGTGGCATCGAAACAGGAATTATGATATAGGCTAACGTTGTGTGTTACAAACTTCAATGCAACAAAAGGGGTCAAAACTACCTCACCTGCTGGGGCTTAGAGATACATGGATACAAGTTGTTGGAACCCATTTAGTCGTATCTTACGATCACGCAGGAATAAACGTATGTTATAACAATTAAATGCAACCCCGTGGTCACAAGGGGCCAACCAATTTTGCAAATATAATATTAAAATTAAAATGTACTATAATTATGGTGTTTAAATATATGTATGTTTGTTCAATATAACATAATATCTTCTTCATGCATTTCTTAGTCAATTATTGCTTAAATATTAGACAGTTCTTGTATAATAATTGTGGTAAGATATCAAGTGTTCTGAAACAAATATCTAATGTATGTCCCCTCTTCATTTCTATTAAACAAAATTATGCGGTCTTGTATTCGCAATTTTTCCAGTCTTTGTGTCACTATTACATCTAGATAACAAATTAAAGTAAGAAAGCAATCTTGAAATAAAATAATGACTTTAAAATCAAATATATTTTTAGGAAGTCACTTTCATTGTCAATTTGTGAAATAAATTATGGTTAAGCTATACTAATACTGTTGCACTGTAAACAACTTTAAAAAAAACACCCTGCACTCAAATGAATGCATTTCAGCGAGTTCGCAGAATTAATGACTTTGTTTTAGTTTAAAGTCCAAAAATAAAAACAATCGTAAAAAATCATTATACAATAAATGCATTTGTTTATAAAAAAACTATTTCCATTTTTTGGCGATATATTGACGTAAATGTTTTGATATGCAAGTTTATTGTCGTGAATAATTCTATGACCGATAAAGACCAGTTTAGATTAATTTATATTACAGGTTAGCCAACGGAATCCTCCTTTACTTTAAAAAGGATTAATTAGTTCAAGGAACATGCTTTTGACAACGTACCTATTTAGCAGTGGTTCATTTTACATTCTCAGCATTGAAATCTTCATCAAATCTGATAACCTAGTACTTTTACATCTTTTAAAATTAACATAATGGAAAATTCCTTATATATTTGAGTTGTAATAAAAAAGAACATTGTATAATAGCAATATTTGTAAAGGTGTTTAGGTTAAAGTGACATTATGCTAATTTTTGCATTGTCAAGTTGAACAGAATTGACTATATATTTCAAAAGATTGACTTTAATAATGGTGTTTGATCAATAGTAGATGTTTAAAAATGTTTAGGATAAAATATTAATCTGCCTAAAATATAAAAAGACTGCACTCCTTTAATAAATTGAACGTTACATGTAAATTCCAATATATATTTACAGAATTTTCATTGGGCCACATGAGTTATTAATCCTGTATGCGAATTAAATTATAAAATTGAAAGTAATTATGGCAAAGTGTTCACCTGTACACGCTTTGATGGGCATAATGTCATTTTTAAAGTAAACCGGTTTATTCCGTTGACCTTGACATCTGTCAGCTTTGAGGCTTTTAGGCATTTCAAATTTGGGGTCGTTGGGTGGAACACGAGTATATATGCTATTTAAAGTCTTTGAAAACCAATGTCTCATCCAGGAGTGCAAAGATACTGTTTGTCAAAAAAAAAAAAAAAAAAAAAGCAAACGCAAATATTTAGTTTTTATGTCCACCTGTTTTTAGCAGGTCTTTGGAATCTACTTTGGAATTTTATGGTCCAAGCATTCATTTTTAGGCATTTTTTTAATAAGATCTTATCATGTAACAATTTAATGAAATTTAAGTCATTTAGTGTTATATGTTTGAGCTGTCTCTAAATTTGGAATGTTGGTATAAATTTCAATGTTGTCACATATCCGTATTTCATTGATTTTCATATCATTGTAAGCGGCTGTTTAATAATGTTAATTTGGACTTAGCTTAGGGTTAAGGTGCTACTGCTGTTGTATGCAACAGTGGTAAATGGTCATTCTCACAAAGTCTAGTTTTCCCCTGTTTTATATAAGATGGCATGCTGCTTTGTTGCTGGAGGAGTAGCATTAATTGTAAATACTTATGTTTTGTTTGTTTGTTTGTTTCATTTTTACGCCTTTCCAACAGTATTTCAGTCATAGAGGCGGGCAGTTTCCTAACCATCGTTTCTGGAGAGTTACACCAGTACTAGACTACCTTCCTCCGTGCTAAACTACCAAAGCATCCCACGGCGATCGAACCCACGCCAAAGAGGTTACTGGATTAGAAGTTATCGACTCTAACCTCTCGACAAATACTAATGTGATGAATTTTAATGGGTCCTATTTTAAAATGACTAACATTTTTCTACATTTTCATTGAAACTTTAAATCATAAATCATTCAATAACCGTGCATCATTATTGGATTTACTTCAGTATGTGGTTGTTAAAACACATTTAAAATAATAATATCCTCAACCAGTTTCTATTCAGGATATATTTACTACGTGGACACAACTTGTACAAGTTTAAGTTTAAATTGAAAGCAAAATAAATAGTTACATTATTTGCGATGTGACATCAACAGCAACATGATTTAATTACTGAATAAAAACAAAACAAAATCTTATCTTTGTAATTATCTTTATTCATTTAATTGTTTTTGCTACATTAGTTGTAATGCAAAAGAATTCAAAGAATTGCATAGAATTAGGACTCATTTAATGATTCAACCAGCGAAGTTTTATGGAACACAATCCAACACCTGCTCGATAAGCACCATCGACCACTCTATTGGCACCAATATAAATGTCTTCATTTTCTTGACCTTCATCGTCCGGTTGTCCATTAGGAGCGAAGAGACATTTATGGCACTCGGAATGCAGCATACCATGATCATTTGTTATCTTAAGATAGTTATTCCTAATCCATAGGTTCGCCATACTCACCGAATGATTTAAGGAATTGGCATAACTGAAGAGGAAAATATGTGTTTATTATACTTTTTAACACCAATTGCTCCTCTTGACATTTTCCACAGGTTTTATTCTTGTAATGTTGTGTACTGATGGCAAACACGTAAATTTAAATATAGAGCTAGGTATCGATATATGCAATAACCTTTGCTTTTGAATCATGTTATGTTAACGAAGGAAAGAGAAAAAAATAATGCTATCAGATCTCTTTTATCACTCACTTGACTAAAATGAGTAACGACATTAAAACTCATAAACGACACATTTGTAAAAAGTTTCTTGAGACTTAGTCTCCAATGTCCCATATTTTAACATTGCATTCAGATTCTCAGTAATAATTCTGAGTACTAGTGCATGGGTGTACAATGTTATACCTGTTATAAATCCTGATGACTTAGCTTTTAACTAAAATATGATCAACAAGATTAACAAGGAAAGGTGGCGTTTAATGAACGTAAAATCTATAAAAACGAAATCAAAAACCGGAAAAGCTGCTATAAAATTGATGAAGCCTGTCAAAAGACGGTAGTGGTAAATGCAAGCTATCGAACACCCTCTCTTAGTCTAGGTAACTTTGGTGTTGATGATTAAAAGGAAAAAAGGACGAAGTACAAAACCTGCTTATGTCACATAAAGATACTGATTTATATATAATATATATATATATATATATATATATATATATATATATATATATATTCACACATATCTTCACTTACGGGGCCCATATATAAGACCGAGTTGAGTGGCATTATTTCATGCAGTCAGTTTTTATATACGCCACTATATAGGCCTATAATGAACATTTCCATACAAACAGAACTAACGGGTACTAATTTATATATATAAACTATATATTTGATTTTACCATAGGTGAAAACATATTGACTAATAACATAAAACCCCATAATAAATATATACATTTGTGGGACATATATCATTTACTACTAAAACCGGCCTACGGGCACTATGTTAGAAGGGTAGCCTACGCCCCCATACATCGTTTTAAACATGCCAGAGTTGCGAGGCCTTATGTATGCCCCACATTAAATATACACCCCACAAGTATGGTCTCAAATAGACCGATGCCCCGTAAATGGAGGAATGTGTTTGTATATATATATATATAATATATATATATATATATATATATATATATATATATATATTCACACATATCTTCACTTACGGGGCCCATATATAAGACCGAGTTGAGTGGCATTATTTCATGCAGCCAGTTTTTATATACGCCACTATATAGGCTTATAATGACATTTCCATACAACAGAACTAAGGGGTACTAAGTTATATATATAAACTATATATTTGATTTTACCATAGGTGAAAACATATTGACCAATAACATAAAACCCCATTAAAAATATATACATTTGTGGGACATATATCATTTACTACTAAAACCGGCCTACGGGCACTATGTTAGAAGGGTAGCCTACGCCCCCATACATCGTTTTAAACATGCCAGAGTTGCGAGGCCTTATGTATGCCCCACATTAAATATACACCCCACAAGTATGGTCTCAAATAGACCGATGCCCCGTAAATGGAGGAATGTGTTTGTATATATATATATATATATATATATATATATATATATATATATCAATATTGCGTTTCATCTGGTAGAACTGCAGTATCAAAAAAAGTCGCCACATCTCATTTCTCTGATGCAACCAAGAACTTTTAGAGAATAAACCTTCGGACATGTCGGATCGATCCATCAGGGCATTGGTCATCACCATATACTGCTATGCTACTTGTTACTCCTTGGACTTCAGAATCATGACTTTGAGTTGACCCATCTCCACCTATTTTGAGAGAGTACATTTAATAAAAAGGCGGGAATCGAAGCCTGAAACATAAAACTACAACATGTTTCTAAAGATATTAAAATCTATCTTTCACTTAATTTTCCTATTAAAACAAAACTTGTACAGACTCAATCAAACTGAGTCTGCAATTCGTATGTAATTGTGTTGTGGTTAATGCTTCCGAGGGATCACTTTGTTTCCAGATTTTGAAACTGAAATTGAATTGGCCTCCTAATTACTTATTCATCTGCTGCTTTCTAAATATTTTCAATGTATTGTACATGATAACAATTCAGGACAGGGAATATAGGGAAGATTCCGCGAAAAAAATACTACAACAATGTAATTGCATATGGTCTTGAAATAAAATCAAATTTGAACTATGCCGTATTGAACAATCTCTATGAGACTAACCCCTCTGTTAAACCGTAATAATCAGGTAGTTCTTTAGTTCTAAGATATTACACTGAACACACTAGAGTTACACATTTTCTTTTTGGGACGATGCTTTATAGCTATATAGCTTGCAGTAAATATTTCACGGCCGTGAAACAAAATAAAACAAACAAATCTATCAACAAAAATGCAACATTCCATACACCCTGGTACAAGCTGAGATGGTATTAAAACATTAACACTGTGTATTTGAATCAATGATCCCGAGGAACCAGAAAAACACGAAGGTAAAGTAAGAGCATTTATACAGCAGCCAAACAACACTTCATTTATTTCTGTTGATTATCAAAATTCTCTACAGTGAATAGCCGTTTTAGCTATACCTACAAGTAGTTGCAAACATGGATTTCTTATTTTCTCTATTTTCTTAAACCTTTATTCAAAATACGTGGCTGTTATTACATTTAGATAGTAATACAGAAAGAAATGTGTCAGTACATGTATTCATTAGTTTTCATTACCCCATCCATTGTTAGTTTCACTGTCAGCGACATTAAACATCCAACCGCTCCTGGTGCCATCGGAGAAGTGCATCTGTATATTTAACATCCGTTGTGGGGGAAGTGTGATATCGAATGTGCTATCTGGTTGACAGGGCTCAAAACATGATAAACAAGATCGACAAGGAAAGGCGGCATTCAACGAACGCAGCCCCCACCCGACCCAGCAACAAGCGCCAGCGGCAAGGAGCCCAGGAGGACCCCAAAGAAAAACAGGACAGGGCAAGTCGATCATCTTTCAAAAAGTGAACCTTTCAATAAGATTATTTAATTTTCATTTTAAGCATACATTCTACGGGGCATGTAAATATTTTTTCACTTAAAATGTTGAACCATACTTCGAATTGTATTGGTTGTCCGTTCGTGCGAACGTGTTGTCTGATATATAATCTTATTAGTTTGCGAAATGTAGAAGTGACAAACAATTATTAAACATCTATTCGGCCAATACGTAGAGAACGATTTTGCCTACATGCCTACAATTTAATGTTTGGTTGGTCATTACAAGTAGATGACTAGTTCTGGGTGTCTGTGTGGAGGTTTCAGTTAGCTTGTAACATTTTGAGGTCGATCGGTTAAAGGTCAAGGATATTGTAACGTACCCCACTAAGATATTTTATGACCTTTATCAAAAAGAACATTTTGACATATAGTTCTAAGATAAAGTGTTAAATATAAATGTACAGATTTAATCAAACCGAGTCTGCAATAATCATGTAACTGTAATGCTGTTTTAATCCTTCCAAGATAAAAGCCCTGGGATTGATCTATCAATATAAAGAGTTTAGTGTCCAAGCCCTAAGCCAAGGTTCCGTTCTTTCTTATTAATTTTACAAATGTCTTTTTACATGTACGCATAAGTAAGTATATACATATGTCATTTTGACAATAAATGTGGTTGGGGTATAAATTATCTACGAAACTAACTCTAGAAAAGAATTATCAGTCATTATTATTAATTATCTCAATAAAAATACAATTTACATTTAAGTAAATACTTGATTACAATGAATGAAATCTTATACATTCTACTGCAGTATGAACTATACCTACCTTCAATACAGCTTGCCTACTGCATGGCACCTCGTTCATAAGTGTTGTGATAGCAGAATGAATACTGACACCGGCTAAAGATCCAGTAATACGACCGGTGTTATCGAGATCAACACACATTTCGTCGTCTCGACATTCTAGAACAATGAAGTCTTTCTTTATTTGGTAGCGGTAAACGTAGTAAATGGCATAGTGCTTCCGTTTCTGCACTGAATTTTGATGTATCTTGACTTGGGGAGAAAATGCCTATGTTTGTATGTGTTTTCATTCTAACATTAACAGCAGTTCAAGCCGGTGCTAGGGGGCGTGAGGGATGTTGCACATTTCATTATCCCTCATATACAGACTCATTTAAACCGAGTCTGCAATTCTCTTGCAATTTTGTTGTGATTAATGCTTCCGAGGGATCACTTTGTTTCCAGATTTTTTAATGGAAAATGTGCAATATAATATTCACAAAGTTCTTATTTCACGCTAAAGATAGCATGTCAGGATTTGGTGAATTAAAAAAACATATAGACTAAATTATCAGTAAGTGTATTTTGTCCTTTCTTCGTATAACCATTTAAGCTAAGATGGTCATGTTGTATATTGAGAAGTTAGTATGCATTGATTAAGCTAAGATGGTCATGTTGTATATTGAGAAGTTAGTATGCATTGATGAGTACAAAACTGAATTCTTTCGGACGAGTACACAGCTGACAAAACTATATTGGACGAAGCACTAGCCAAATCTGATCTACGTACAAGTCCAATAGAATCAGTATTGTTCTCCACTATGTTAAATGACATTTTTATTTCACTCCGCTATTTTTAACATTTTGACATAACTTTATTACTCAGAGAATTTGAATGTTTGGACTTGTTGTGCCTCAAAATGCAACAAAGCAAAATGGAATTTGATATGCATTTGATAAAATGGTTTGGACTCTAAAAATAAAAACGATGTTATATTGGTTGTGATATGGGTTAGATACGAACATTTGGAAATGAAAACGTGGCTAAATTTGGTGTTACATATTGATTTCTTATGTACTTTTAGACTATGAAAATGAAAACGAGGCTTAATTGATCAAATAATGATTTGTATTAGAATACCACGTGGTGAAAATGCTGAAAGTGCATTAGTTTTATTTTATAGGGTGTGAAAATAAAGTAATATATAAAATCTTTATCGATTTTCCCTACACAGACAAAACATTTAAAACTTTTGTTTCAGAACATATTAACGATGCCTTTACCACGTGGCATAAAAACCAAGAGACCAATCTAGGTAATATTTTCTACCATAACTATTTCAATTTATAGATTTGACTAAAAACGCTGTTTCCCTTTACGAAACAAATATATTTGTCTGACCAACAGAAAAAACAACAACTAATTATTGCATTAAAACAAATCCGTGGTTGAAAACACTTCCAGGGCTGGCCATGTGTATTGATTTCCCTGCGACCCCACAAAAATCTCAAAATATCTTATGGTACGGGCACGGCGACATTTCAGTGTCCTCTCCAATACAAGGTAAGTTCTATTGATCAGATGCAACATCTATGCTTGTACGGTTTCATGATTTGGCATTATGCTTATAACTCATTGAAATGTTTAAATGTAATCCTAAAAATGCACATAATTATTATGTTTATTCTATTCTATAATATATTTTCTTGCACAATCTGTTGTCAAGATTTTCAAATACATTATTTGTAAATCCATAAATAGTGTATACCAAACATCAAAAGCTTAAGTGTTGAAGGCTTGCAGATGTGTTTGTTACAATTGTCTGTGCTGCAACACTCATGACAGGAGAGATCACGTCCAATTAAACCTGGGTGTGTATCGCAAATCTGAAAATGTGTACGATGTTTGTTTATTTCTTTTAAACACCAATGTAAACACATTTTGGTTTAACTTCGGAACATTTTATTTTCAATTTTGCCGTGTTGGGCTTTCTTTAGGGATTCTGTATTTATCTATTTTTCGGATGCAATAACAGTTTGCACAGAGACTTTTTGCCGGACCAGCGACCCGACCCCTTAATTATTAACCCAATTATCTCCGTTTTGATTTAAGCGGAGCGGACAAAATAAGAAATAATTTTTATGTCACTGACATCAGCTTCATGTGAAATAAGTAGCTAGTCACGTTCGGAAAAAAATTGGAAATTATTATACTAAGTTTTTCAGGGAAGCCAGTCATTAGTTTGATCGTAATTTAAATAACATATTTTGTACATATCACCGCGACAAAATTACCTGAGTGTCCTTACAGCCTAGTGTGTAACTTGTTGTTTGTCCAGAAACATCCATTTCTAAAGAACATGACTGAAATAAAACATATTTTGTTAAAATTTGTTTTTGTCAAGAATATTATGATATATAGATTTAAAGCATAATTAAATAGAAAGAAATGAATCCCTAAAAGGTACATTAAAACCATTATACACTAGAAATACTTTTATTTAGTTTTATAATAGTTTACTGCATATGCAGTATAGATATACATCAATTCATATACATCAACAAAATTACACAAGTAAAGCACACACGCCATTATGCCTCAATTTTGACATATACTACGTTTATGCTCAAATTTGATGTTTTATCATTTGCTTATTAAATGTTTATATATTTTTAAATCAGAATGTTATAATAAATTAATGTTCAAGGCAATTGACAGTCCATTACGAGCAGCACTGTCTATATATAAATAAGAAACATGGTGTCAGATTCCTGATACATCACGACATTGACTGAAGCGATCCCGTCCTGTTACAGTATACAACATGTAAAACGAGTACCACTAATACGGACGTAATGGAATGTTCGTGTCGCAACGTCTCTCCTTTAATTTCAACAACTTCTCAGATCTAAACAGACATTCATTTTGGTAGCATGTTATTGGGCTCTTCTAAAGGTAGGCAATGCACAGCTTACCATTCCTTTGCAGCCATTTGAGGTGTGCGTAAAACCTTGCTTTATTTTTGTATGTTTATAGTTTCCGAATTGTTACTCATCGGCCAAATAACTGAATTATTTGTTTCTTCTGTTGCGTTTTATTTTATATTTTTTTATTTAATTATTTTTTTGTTCTTTTTTTACAATAAGTATAGCAAAAGTGATAAAGTATTTTGAATGGAGGTCACAATACTACTTTGTCTACATTTTGCTACTACTTGGAAAACATTGTTCACATTAAGCACTACTTTCCTTTCAGAACAAGTATCAAACAAGCTCATGTTTGCCCCTCCTAAAGAAGTAAAACATATGTGTTTCTGAGGCATAATGTGCCTTTGAGTACGTCAAATTTGATAAACAAGATAAGCTTTATAGAGAGAGAATGCTTATTTTAGTATCAGACTGACAAAGGAACAATTAAAATCTTGATTAAATTAAATTTATTAAGACCATTTTGATATCATTAGAGCTTCACTGAGATAAAAACAATCTAAAAGCATGAAATGCTACATGGAGCACTTCAACGAAAACGAGAGCAAAAAAAACTGACAAAAGATAAGAAAGCAATATACACAACATTAAACTTGAAGTGAATATAGATAGATAGTGTACTTCGTGGTTCTATTTGAGTAAAATGCACTGCAGTTTGGTCACTTTGCAGAATAATAAAAACCTTAACCTGGAAAAAACGATGTGCGGTTTATGATATGCAAAGTTGCACCCATGTTGTTTGTTGAGACCTTCATCAAATGGTACAAAATCTCAAAAAATAAGTAAAGTCCCTTCATGTCAAATAATCTAAGAAGAAGGAATGCGATTGAAACATATATTTTCTTTATTATTTCTATATCACTTATTTTCATTAAAAGTCCATATAACGATGTTTCCTAACCTGTCCTTGACCGCACGTAATGGTTGCATCACAACTATTTAAATCAGCCACACCAGAGCAACTGAAACACGTCAAACAAACTGCAAATAGAATAAACTCAATTAACATTTGACACCTGTATAAAGTTTTCATATCAAGTTGTTTTTTAAAAAATACAAAAGGTTGTCTTTAAATACCCCTTTGTTACTTTAAACACAATACATATCAATGTAAACCTAAAAAGGTGGTATTTTAGTCAACCCGATCGCAACGGGAAAGAAATGACTAGTTTTGAAATTTGATATTTCTAAAATTTGAATGATGTCATTTGCGAGATCCGCGATTCTTTCATGACACAAAAACGTGGCAACTTGTCAGAGCGAAATGAGACAGAGCGTAACTAATTTATAGTAATACTTCTCTATCATGAAAAGAACTTTCCTGAGGTTTGAAGTTATAAATAAAAAAGATTTTACGTAGATCACCGTGTATATCCAGAAACGCCGGAGTGTGAAAATAACGCACGATTCGTGCAATAAGTAACGCAGAATTGTGCAAGATATGGAGGATACCTGACAGGATTTCCAACGCGGTAAGAAAACTGGCCAAAATATTTTTTATTTAACCGAACTGAAAAAATCAATACCCGAATACGGCTGCGAAGACATAACCCTTTATCCCTCATCAAGATAATTTTCACGAAATTGTTTACTTTTCATGATCATTCGTGAAAATGATGACTTGACTACCGTTTTGAGCGTTATTTTCACATTCCGGCGTTACTGGATATACACGGTTGAGAAAGGAATAAAGGAAAGACAATTGATTCTTGTAAAATCAGTTTAATTGTAAATCTTGATAATGAAGTCCCAATTACGCGCGTAGATAACCAGTATATTGTTTGTATCGTACATTAAAGCCTAATGTTAGAATAGGTAGAAGGTGAACACTGTATATGTTTAAATTATAATTGTTTTTCATTTCAAGTAAGACGCAAATCGGCTAAAGAACTGTTTGTCCTATTTTTATCATGCTGAAATTTGACTGCTGAAATTATTATTTATTTGAAACATCGTAAGCTATACAAGTTTCCAAATTGACTAGATTACAATATAGTGTGACCAACCCAACATTGTTAACAATTATGTACCTGGCTGCAGGTTGCATTTGGACATCTCAAAATGTCTTTTTTACATATTATGTTTGAAGTAACATAGCATGAAATAAAACAAATAAAAGAAACAAAACAAATTAAAAAAACACCAAGACATTGGTAACTGCATTTCCTTTGAATATTTAAAACAACATTATATGAATTGTAGCTGTATCATGATGAAATTATTAAATTGGCTAGCCAGTAGTATGTAGTCATCACAAATTAAGCAGATAGTTGCAGGTTTTTTTTTTTAAATTTCTTTCGCTTTAACTGCCTGCCACCGATTAAATACATATTATTCATCCGAGCAATATACTGCGGCTTATTTCTTTCATTTTCTTTTGTTTTCTCTCCGTCAGTCTTTTGCTTGCTTGTGAGCCAGCTTCTCAATGTTTATTTAGTTACGCATGAGCGAGCGTCCGTTTTACAAATCAAATTAAACACGTACTTCTACGGCAACAACCTTGGTAGTTTTGGATGGAAAAAATCGATTTCATGCACTGCTTAGTTTTTTTATAATGCAAGTTATCAAAAGAACAAATATTTTTAAGGATTCCAGCCATAAATAACTTGTCTTTAATCCGACTGTAAAAAGCACTATCGCATGATGTTTTCCCCCACAAATTAGTAAACAAGAATTAGAAACAATACACAACTTTATGGAAATAAATTAGTAAAAATAACCGTTCAACTCTGGAATCATGAAAGATACAAACAATGCGAATATATCTGAAAAAAAGTAATTTTGGTAAAATTTGTTATAAAATTAAAAACATCTCACGTGTGTTTTGTCTTTTATGGCTATATAGTCTTATCAGAAACGCGGCATCTCATCCGACATGAGCCATAAGTCTGCAGACTCGTTAATTATATTTAAGAAAACATCATGTTCATTTTATAGAAAAAATAAGCATTGTCTCAACATTAACTTACAAGATGTTCACAATAGAATATTGCTTAAAGTGTTAAAAAGTTAAAATGTGAATATTTGTAATTCGTATTGCAAAAAATTAAAAATTAAATAAATTAAGCTTACATTTCAAATCCATGTCTGAATTGATATATGTCTGACGGGACTATGATACTAAATTGTCTACGTTTATTACAAAAACAAATTTACTTTAATCGTTGGCGTAGGAGTTTTACAAAGCTGTTACGAAAGTAAACGTAATTTTTTTTAATAATGAAAAGATAAATCGTGTAATGCAAGTTGCATCAAAGAATAAGACAATAAATTGCTTAAAGCTGTACGAATATGCAAAGTCGCTGTCAGTCAAACAAAGCCTGCAACATTTTTCAATTTGACCGTTGAGCATTCTTAGGGGATTCTGTTTTTCTCTATTATAGTGTTCCCCTTAAGGTTTAATAGTCACTTCCAGATTTTCTACTTTGATATTCATCACTGCCTTATAGTAAAGATATTTCAAAGTTAGAACTTTTAGAAAAAGGGGCGGTATTTATATATATACTTGAACTGTTTTTTTGTTGTTTTTTTTGTTTGTTTTTTTTTTTTTTTTGGGGGGGGGGGTTTGGTTTAACGATGCACAATACAGTATATGTCATATAGCGCTAAAACAGGAAAACGAATTTGACTCACTCGAAGTTATAAATGTCACCTGTGTTTCAAAATTTTTAACTGCAGAATGACAGCGCCTAATCTCCAAAGAAGAACATGCCGCCATGATATCTGTTCTATATATGGCTGAATGCGTGCATGTAAAATATATAAATGTTAGCCATACGGTTCGCCAAACAAAACAAACGTACAATACTGCAGACTTGGTCTGGTTGCGCCTTTTTAAGCACAGTTCAATGTGAGATTGTCATGCTATATGATGAATGAAAAAAACATCCCGAAAACAAAATCGAATATATTGCTGGCTCGTTTTGATAAGGTATTTTCTTGAAGTCGCAAGCTACCTTCCACGACCCTAGCAGCCGATCAAGCGAACTTTAAATTTCAACAAGACCTGGTTAAAATTCGAATTAAAAGAAATATCCGCAAACCTTGAATGTGGACCCAAAATAAAGGGATGCTTATTCTCTTATTTAAAACTAGAAATAAAGAGGACGAAATTAAATAATATGGAATTTTGTATGGGGATTTTGGGTTTACGAAGTGATTTAATTACACCTGACAACGCCTAAAGCGTCCTTTTCCTTCCCTCGTGTTTACTTTTGCCTGTACAATGCCCTACTTGCTGTTTTTATTAATTAACGTCAAATTGGGCGGTGGCGTTCAATGACTGTTGCTCTTCCTTAACTCTGATTTATTTTATGACTGTTGTGTTCTTTTTCAGTTTAGTCTTGGCACATACGACCAAGTTTCCAACCATTTCATTTTGTAAACAACCCTTATACTTAAATATAATAATAAACCTTAAACTAGTTCAACAAGATGACATCAGATAACGACGATTGATAGAAATGAACAAATGTTATAACAAACTGTCACCTAGATTTATTATAGGTTCTTACGTTCTCTGTTCAAATTAGGTGATTCTCAGATTTTTATACTTCACAACAGCAGGTGTAAAGTGCCGTGTGTCAGACGTTAACCGTTGCTCCGTCCTTAACTTCATTCTTGTTATATTTTTCCAGTGCTTCGGGATCATTGATTCCAGAACATTTAGGTGTTGAAAATTAAGTATGGCTTAAGTCGATGCTAGGGGCGTTAGGGATGTTGCACTTTTTTATTATTCCTAATGTCCAGACACAAGTCGAAGTTGGAATGTAATTTTATTTTGATTATTTCTTCTAAGTGGACCACCCCTTATCCTGATCTTTTTGCTACAAGACCAAGACAAAGTGACATGGTGAGCTTGCTTTTCGTCCGTAATCCGTCCGTAAACTGTAAGTTTAAACGACATCTCTTCATAAAACGCTGAGCCAATTTAATCCAAACTTCACAGGAATGTTCCTGTGGTGGTCATCATTAAAAATTGTTCAAGGAATAAAATGAAAAAATAATAATAGAATAAAAGAGAAAACTTAAAATATTTTCTTAAAAAAACCTAGAAAACCTTAAAAAGAGCTAGAGCTTAAATATTTGGCATGAACCATCTTCTAGTTAGTGTGTACCAAGTTTGTTCAATAAAAGCCTTGGGGTCAAAATTGGCCCCGCCCATGGGTATCATTTGATTTTCCTTATATGTCTATTGTTAAAAATTAAAAAAAATGTTTTAGAAAACCCAAAGAGCTAGTGCTTGGATATTAAGCATGAAACATCTTCTAATGAGTATCTACCTAGTTTGTTCAAATAAAAACCATGGGGTAAAAATTGATCCCGCTTCGGAGGGGGGGAGGGGTCATTGATTTTCCTAATATGTATATAGTAAAAAAAAATTAAAAAGGCCCAAAGAGCTAGCTTTGATAATAAGCATGAAACATCTCCTAATGGGTGTCTACCAAGTTTTTTCAAATTAAAGCCCTGGGTTCAAAATTGGCCTGGCCCCAGGGCGTCATTGATTATTCTTATATGTACATATCTTTTGTAAATGTTGTTTTCCCTAAGCAATGCCAATCAGTTATGTTTTAAGCATGCACTATTTCAGATACAAATATGAACTTTGTGATATCAATTTTTGATTTAGATTTAATATCTGCTTTTGATTTAAAATAACAAAAGGACTAATATATGTTCCTTGTCATGGAGAGTTTCATTAACAGGCGAGCGATTTCAGTGCCACCATGGCCCTCTTGTGTTTGTTCCTTTTTTTCCTCTTTTATCACAAGTTAACAGTAACTGTTTACTGTTCATCATAAATACTTAACCCATTTTCGACGGTGTCGTTCCCCTAATATAGCCTTGAAACATTTTTTTCTTGATATCTGATGGGAACTATCGCATATGTTTTAAAGATAACGAGTACATAAGCGCTATATAAATAAAACACCTTGAGCTACTTTCGTCCACTAATATTTGTACAAATTTTGTTCACTTAAATATGTTCAACTTTTATTTAGAAAATAGATATGATTTTATAAAAATAATGCAGTGTTCTAGTTCAAACGCGCCGCAATATATTTATAAGACACATTTTTAACAATAGAATGAATATTTTACTTTGCAATATTATTTTTATTATTCAAACAAGTTAATTTAAAAAAAAAGATTTTATTAAAATATCTTAATAGTGTGTTGTAATTATAAACTTGATAATCATCAATCATTTAATAGATAAACGTAAAGCCGAGGCAAAATGAGATCAAAGGCGCAAATTCGACTCTACAACACTCTATTATTATTGCTGTAAACGCCCAGTATGCCAGACTTGTTTTTGAACTCAAAACAGATCCCAGCGCTGAATATTAAGATGCAAATATTTGCTTTTGTATTCTTAACATATATATCTCTCATTTGGGTTTGTTACGTTAGAACTCAGACTGATTGCGAATAACATAGGAGCACTTAAAGGCGATAATAATCTTATCTAAACAGTCTTCTATTACTTGCATTCGTCATTTTATGCACATTATCGTCGTAATATGTAAGACAAATTGTATAAGACAACTAGTTCATAGACAAGAGTCACTGGAAAATTGTTGTAATACTGCCTACTGCTTATATTTTGTAGCACTTCTATTGTTCACATACATCGTAAATTATAAAGTAATGTGATATTTGTCTTCGTAGTTGTAGTACATAATTCCCCATTGAATATAGAGCTTTAAGGTCGTGCTCAAATTTACAATATTAGATACATTTGTTTCTTGCTGACTGATAGCGATTAAACGTATATTCAAATTGCATCTGTTAAAATGTACGTACGTTAGAAATTCAAAAACAAAATGCATCACGCGTCTGACAGAAGGTTTTAAAGAAGAAACAATACATTTTTTACAACTTATATAATTGCTTTAAAACGTCCATTTATAAAATATTGATTGCAAAATGATAACAACATTTAACACTCTTTGCAATCTGTCTTGAATCTAATATCAATTTTATATGGAAATTAATGCAATTGTTCAACAAAACTATTTCCGTCTTTTTCATCCGACGCACTATTTGCCCGGTGTAAATGTTAGAATATGCAAATTTATTGTCGTAAATAATTTCATGGTCAATTAAGATCGTATCGATTAAATGAAATTGATATTCCCATATGGCATTTTGATGGACAGTTATTTAGAAATAACAAATCAACAACATCATATTTCAGTTGTAAACAAAACACACAGCATTGAGAATGTTAAATGACTAGACTTAGCGTTTCTCTTTTTATTATAATTACGATATAGTAATATCTGACCATTAAAGAACGAAAGTAACGTCACTATTCCTTGATCAAACAATTTGATGCAAAAGTTTTTTATGTAGTAGTCAAGCCAAAATAAAAAAAACTCAGCATAAGTTTAATATGAAATATATGCATGCTTATGTTCATATTTAAGATAAGACATTAGTCAGATAATCAAATAGAAGGGGTCATAATATTTTGGTTTATTGCCCTAAATATATTCTATATATAACTTATAATGTTCTTCGGCACATGGTTAAGGAAGGCCGCCATTAGTATTAAAAGATAGTAATTGTGATTGATGCACGCGAATTGTTGAAGTGACAGGTTTAAATCATAGGTTTCTTTAAACTACAATGCTGAAAAGGGCTTTGTAAATATCACGTTTTTGAAATAAAAATAATTGTTTTTACATTTTCGAACAAAAGCATCTATTAGTAACATTATTTTATGAGCATTTATAATTGCCTTTAACTGTAACATAATCTTTTTTTTCAAATATGACTACTCAACGATTTAGATTATCTGAAAGGGACACCTGACCCCAAAATATAAAAGGGACAAAAAGATTTTCTAAGGAAACTTTTTTTTCATCAACACAAATTCTATATGAGGTGATTCATGTTTGATTATTTTTAAGTTTAAAATATATCGATATAATTTCAAATTACAAACCTCTTCGTCGTCCTTTTCTCACCATACCAGTTTGCATTATATTACATATAATGATTCTATCAGTGATGAACTACTTTATCTATTCTCGGCATAACTCAATCTTATAACAAGCCTCGTTAATATTCTGCACCTTACTTTACCGTTAAGTGTCTTTTTGGTGGTCCTGTTACTTTTTTCAGTAAACATTATGGTAGCTATTCCTTG